AGACTTCCATTTTTAAAATAGAAATGTTACGCTGTTCACTGATTAGACCAATATGTTTGTCAGACTTTTCCTGAAATCTGTAGTGTTTCCATCAACTGTAAATGCAGTTTGGTTTTTTTGTAAGAATATTGTCAGGCATAAGCGGGACTAATCTGCCAATTAGATGTTAGATAGCAGTGGAACCTCACATTTATAATTTCTGATAATGCCTTAATCCATAATAAACTCTCCTGTGCCTCTAAATCAGAGCTTCATGCTTAATCCATAAACATTTTACTTTCTATTTCAACTTTTGTTTGGAAGAAGCAAGGTCAGGGTACCCTTTCATATCCTGTGTTTGGTTTTTTGGGTTTTTTGTTGTTTTTTTTTTTTTTTAGCAAACCTTAAAATAATGCAGACATAGTTTGGTGCTAGTAAGCCACTGTTGAATAAAATGGTGCTCTGTTCACCAATTACAAGCTTGCCTTATACAAATTTTAGAAGAAACATCCTGAGAAGGTTTGTCAGGGTCTGAGGCATATGGTCAGTCATGTTTTGTAGACTTGTTTATCTGCCGCTTCTGTAAATGTGTTCATTTTAGTTGTTCTAATCCAGAATTCATTTTCTCTAGTGTAATCAGCTTGGCGACAAAGTGCGCCATGCCCAGCTTCCGTATGCATCTGAGAGCACATGGGATGGTAGCCATGGTTTTCAAAACACTGGATGATTCCCAGCACCATCAGGTATAGATACATTGTGTATTTCATTAAAGTTTGATACCTGTCTACTCTGTGTGAATTTTGTGTACACGTAATTCAAGGTCAGACATCCAATATAGCATGCATCTAGGATCAGTGGCTCTGTTTTAGAAAGCTATAATGAAATGAAAAATAAAAGCACCTGCGTTCCAGTGACAAATTCCCCTTCTACTGTTTATGTGCCTCTGGGTTTGGAAATTCTTCTAAAAAAAATCATTTAAACTTTTTTAAAAACTGACTGTGCTTTGGATTGTTTATCTTCTCTTAAGCTGTTTTTAATAGTTTTATTGTTGTATTTGTAATTTCCTTCAAATAAAATACATTTGAAAGCAGTCCTTTATCCTTATAGTTAAAGATGTCTTTAAGTGTTCATCTCCAGACTTGCATATGTGAATTATCGCTGTCTCTGTAGCTGTTATGGGGCATTTTTCATGTCCTGTGCTCGTTTCCTTGAGCAGTGCTGTAATTGCAGTTGTAAGATGACCTGAGTATGTTCAGCGTTCTATGATAAATCTAGGAAGGGTAAATTTTAAATACTTATGGTGACATGACTCAAGAGTTAAAAACTGTGGTGGTTTGGATTTTCCTTCTTACCAACTTTACAAATTCAATTCAGTTGTAACAGAAAACGCTTCTTGTGGGTGATACTATTTTTCCAGCAGGTGTAAACCATGCCTCTGTGGGGTACCCCTTGAGGTATTGTTACAAAAGCTGAATGTAGGAAATGTTACTTGAAGTGGGTACTAGATACATATACCCAGTCAGGTTTATTACTTTTATTTAGTAGTTCTAGAAGAACAACATGCAAAGCAGAAGGAAAATTTGCACCACATTTAAGAGATTGTGTTTCATGTCTTACAGTGGGTGGGGGGAAAGAAAGCTATAGAGCTTTATAGAGCTTATTTAAGAATAATAGCTTATTTTCCATCTCTCTCAGAAATTAGCAATGGGTAACGCTGAAACACAGGAACCAGGTTGAATGTGTTCAGTATAAGTAAAATATCGTCACGCTATCTAGGACAGTTGCCACTACTGAGCTGCGGGAGGTCTGTAGAGGATAGCTACAGTTCCTTGCAATAACGCACTAGCTTGCTCAGTGTATTTTTGGCTGTCTTTTAACAGTTGCCATTATTCCCTCATTTTCAGAAGAACTCGCACGTACAGTTCAAAAGGACATTGCATGCTGTGATTAGTCTGCAGTAACAAAAAGCATTGATTTTATTCACTATTTTCAGTAAATTTGATGAAACGCTTCCGTTTGTCAGGAGAAAAAAACCTGGTAGTTAAAGTTTTAATATAGTTACAGTGCGTTCTTAGTACAGGTTACACAGTATTATAAAATTACTGATTTATCAAACTACCGTTAATAAATGCTAAAATATATGCTCTTACTACTGACCATATGCTTCAATACTGACCTCCTTTGTATTTGTATACTTGATTGCTGTCTTTATATACTTTATATTCTTTTCATTCTTAATTATTTCACGAAAATTTTAACTTGTTCAAAATCAATACGAGTTTCTCCACTAAATCTCAGTGCAAAGTAACTTCAGAGTAGTAAATCACACTAGGCTTTGCTTGCATGGCTCAAATCCATTTCAGATTAATAAGGACTAGGGGGAAAAAAATACAATTATTTTGTTACTGTTTTCTTTAAAGTATTTTGGAGATGGGAAAACTGCCACAATGACATTGCTAATGGAAACAAATAGGAGCGTTTACTGCATTCATTGCACCGATGGAATGGAATAGACTGAGAGAGTAGAAAGAGGACTTTCACATCTCCCTAAGAATATAAAATAGCAGTTGCAGAGACATTTTTTTAGCCAGCAAGGAAAACAAAATAACCGGTTCTCTTACTGAGCTATACCTCAAAATATTTACCTGAAAATTACTTGTTCCACTGAATTTTTCTTGTAGATTTGTCTTTAAGCTACCATTTCACTTTTTAACTGACTTTGTCTCTTCAGCTATGCTCTAAAGGTTTTGGAGTCTTATTAATTTTTGAAATTAAGACTGTATTTTCACTATAGCTGTCAGTAGTTAAGCACAGAAGTGTGGTTTTGTAATGTCTTCAGCGTGTGAATAATTAAAAAAAAAAAGTGCATTAAACGTAGTGCTGAACCCTAGAAAATAACCATCTGTTCCCACAAGCTGGAGTATAAATAGAACAAGCAAGGGAAGACAAGGATGACAGTGGGTGTAAATGGTCTGCTGTTTCTGGAGTGTATGTTCAACTAGGATGTTTTCCTGAATTCTGTAGAAGTATGGAGTGCAACTCCATAGTTAGATATGCCATAAAATTTCTGTCTAGAGCAAAGTGTATTTATTTTACTTTTTTTCTCCTGTCCACATTTGTTTGGAAGCAGAATGTGTTTTAAGCCTCTTGAGGAACAGAACAGGAAGGAAAAGAAAAAAAAAAATCCCACCCAAAACCCACCCTCACTAATACAGTCCATAAGGATGGGATTTTGAGGGTTTGATGAAGTCTGTGGTTGTTCGGTTTGGTTTGGGTTGTTTTTAGGATATTTATAAAAAATGAGTGGTACTAACAGTTTCCCCCTCATTCTCAACTCCGTAGTCTGTGAATGGCAGGACATGAGATAACTTTCAGACAACGTGATTAACTGTTTTTGACGCTTGCAGGTCAGAGCAAAGTGTAGATCTGGTATATTCAAGCTTAAACCAACTTGCCTGAGGGACTAAGAAAAATGAGTTGTAGAAGACCCATGTCGCTGGCATGGAGCTGAAGCAGGTTTCTCCATGTTATAAGCACCATTCACACTTGAGGTCCATCCTTGTGCAACATCACCCTTTTCCTGTTGCACGTCAGCATTTGGAGGCTTAGTGGCCTGATTGCCTTCTGTGTGTATGCTGTTGCAGGCACCTAGTTCTTATTACACATAGCTACTCCACTCCTTGCTTTTCTGGCAGTCGTTCTGCAGCCTGAAACCTTCTGTATAATGTCTTAAAACCTGGGTGGAAGGTCTGAAGGGAAGTGTTGACAGAGTTTATGTGGAGGGAGAACCATTACTCCCTACATAATAGGAAGTCAGCTGGATTGCAGAGAAGGGAGCCTGAGACAGGCAAGGGCTTGGTACAGAGGCTTACAAAATGAGTGTGATTGCCCTTATCAGACTTTGGAGGATCTGTAAAGCATTTCTGAGTAGTGATCTAAGAAGTCTCTGACTTCTTGAAGTGCCTAAATATTGTCGGACCAGATTATAAACTCAGCAGTTTCCCTCTATTAACTGGTGCATAGTTTCTAGTTGAAACTCCTTTGGAGGCTTAAGCTTTTTTTTTTTTTTTTTAAAACCAGGAAGCTCACCTAGATAATGCTGATCACTAGAAAATAGTTCTTCATAGATGTTGATTTATTAGGTCCCCCATTGGCTGAACACAGTTAGCAAAGTAACCTTTAGTGTCTCTGGAATGCATGTACTACTGTGTCCTGTTTTAATAACTGCCATTCTGAAGGAACAAAGTCTTCTTCCAGGAACCTGAAATTTCTTATGGTTTGAACCAGTTGCAAGTAAATCCAGAGTAAACAACTTCTATAATTAAAATGATAAAATTGCAAAGTTTACTGGAGAAAGTTTATAGAGATTAAGGGAAAACAGTGAATACCCTGTTTACGTAGACAAGCTGCATAGAAACAACCCTGTGTCTTGAGGCTGTGTTCATGAAAGAAATAGATTTGAAAACTCTTGCTTCCTTCCTTCAGTATTCTAAATGCATCTTTGGTAGTTAGTCAGATTAAAGTCTTTATTCACCGGAGGGTTTCCTTGACTCAGACAGGAAGGAGTTTTAACATAGCTTTTGATAGACTGTCAGCTGCCTAATCCTGTTTTGGAACTGCTGATACTGCTTAGTATGACCAGGTATGATTATTACTTGCTGCTAAAATAAACAGAAGCAGCTAATGATTGCTTTGGTGATTGGCTGAACTCTAAACAAGATGTTAATCTGCTATGACACAGAAATTCTGCTCTTTCCTGTTGAGCTGTACAACATTCATGTCCCAGAGTTAGTTTGTCTCCATTTTTAATTTATTTTACACAGAAAAAATTGGAATAGATGCATGCAGCACGCTGACTCTTGAGAGTTGAACTCTGTAAGACATGCATGTACCCCACACACCGTCCAGCTTTCTTTTTTTTTGCTCCAGATACAGTCAAAGGTTTCTGAAAGTATTGTGACCAGCACAGTTCAATTCTTCATGAACATCTCTCCTCTTTACCACAACTTGGGGCTCACCTGGAGAGATGAGTCTCTTGGTGCAGGTGCTGTACTTCCAGCACTAGGGACAGATAGCTTTGCTCTGATCTCTTTGCTGTCATTTGTCCCTTCCTGACAGTCAGTTTCCCCCTTTACTTTTCTGGATCCTCAAGAAGATGAAATTTAGTTGCTTCTTGAAGAAAGATTAAGTATTCTTTAGCCAGTAAGAGGTCCCTATACGCCAGGTCTGTGTAAGACAGGGATGGTCAAGGTAATGACAGTTTCTTGTTAAGGACTGATGGGGACGGGGCAGTGAGGGGGAGCTGGTTTGTACTCTGGCTACTTCCAAAAAGCAGAATTCCCCTGGAAATTAAATGTGTTTATGCTGGAAAGGTTTGAGTAAACTATTGACTGACAGGCCCGCTTGGCAGAATTGGAATGTATGTCACCAGGCTTGTGCTCACGCTTTTTTTTTTTTTTTTTTTCCACCTTCCCTCTTCACATGCAAGCACTGTCCCCATGATCTCTGTATTTTCTGGTGCTGTCACTAGCTTATCTCATCCAACCAGAATGTTCACCTACCTTGCCATGTACCCTGTGCTTTTTCACTTTGTTCTCCTGCCATCTGTCTCTTCGATAATACTGTGTTACTGGAGTTACTGTTTCTTATTCTGTCTGCAGCACTTCAGTCCCTTGAAAGTAGAAAACCCTGCTTTTCTGCTAGGGTTTTGTAAAGGTATTGAGTGATTTGTGTCTCAGTTGAATTGTTTAGGAGGATGCATTAATAACTTGCTAGAAGGAATCTACATACAACAGTAAGTACTCATTCAAGTGCTAGCGTAGACTGGGACTCGTCAGGCTTTTTCTTTTCTAAATCTCCAGCTTGTTTATTAAAAATTGTGAAAGGTCTCCCTAACATGATTTCTAAAAAGTGGTTTTTTTTTCCTTTCGTCTCCCAACCCAAGAATTTGTCCCTTTGTACAGCAGCTCTAATGTACATCCTGAGTAGAGATCGTTTGAACATGGATTTAGACAGAGCTAGTCTAGATCTGATGATACGGCTTTTGGAATTGGAACAAGATGCTTCTTCTGCCAAGCTGCTGAATGAAAAAGACATGAATAAAATTAAGGAAAAAATTCGGAGACTGTGTGAAACTGTTCACAACAAACATCTTGATCTTGAAAACATCACGGTGGGTATCATGCTTTTATTTGAAAGCCTTGGCAGTAGTGGAATGCTTAATAAAATGGAACTTGTAAGCATCATCTTTTAATCTCATATCTCCCAGCTAGGAGTTATGACATCTTGTCTACCTTTTCTTCTTCAAATTTGACAGTTCCTTCCTAAAAGGCTGTTAGTAGGATAAAGTTACGATGTTCTTCAGCTTTCTGACTTACCATTTGCTCCTGCTGAGGGCAGCTAGTTACAGGTAGTGACTGGGAACAAGTAACACTTTAAATAACCACGTGCTTGTATTTGACTGTGTTTCTTTGCTGAAATTGTATATATACATCACAAACAATGAGGGCTCTTGCATGGGAAATAAAGTATTGTGTGTTAAATTGAAAATGTGGTGCAGGTTCTCCAGTTAAAAAAAAGAAGTTGAAATCTGTCCTACAGAAACGGGTTTCTTTCTGCCTAAAGTGTGGTGGCAGATCTGTTGGTTACCATAAATGTGGATGAATTTTGTTCTTTCCTTTCTCAAGCATACTTGTTTTTGTGAATGTATCTTCAGCTGCCACAGTGAACTGTGTTTAGTTTAAAAATAAATTTGGCCATGGTTTGATGCTAGCATCAAGCTATCTTGAAAAATAAACATTGTTGCAAGTCTTTTTCAAAGAAGATATTTAAAGAATTAATGACAGATTGAGTAGATGAGTGGTCATAGGTGGCAAAAATTAGTGATGTGGTTTTGCTTTAGCTGTATTTCAGTATAACAAATGTTAGTGTGATCCTAATTTTTTAACATCTTTTAATACATTCTTTTAATGTTTTCAACATTCTTCTTAGGCTTTTGCCATTTTTCATGTTATACCCAACAGGAGAAGCTTCTGATTTATTGTTTATGAAGTGAGCTTTTTAGAGCTCTTATCTCTGCAAGTAATGTTTCAACTCCTGCCAGAAATCTGCAGTTAAAATTATATTCCATCTTAGGTTAGATTAAAAGACGATATGCCTTGTTGAGCTGGCTGCTTTTTTTGGTTGTTTTTGTGACTTTTTTTTTTATTGTTTTACAAAGGGTTTGGTTTGGGGTTTTTTTTTTTCCCCAAAATTCTAGCTATGGAACAGATAGCTGAATTGGTATGAAAAGTCAGTATTATGTAGCAGTAGAAAGAGCTGAATTTTGGGGGAGGAAGATAGTATCGCTGACATGGTTCTTAACCTTGGTAATCAGTTTGTGGTGATGAAGGAGAATTGTTTCAGTTTCAGTTTTAGGCTTGTTTCCTACAAACCTATGAAATGTTTGTAGGGGGTTTGTGTTACTTTTCTGGCCTTTGAAATCTGCAAAGGAAGAACGAATTTGAGATTTTCTCCACTTTCAGCTACTGTCTGAATTCACATGATACAATCTGAAGATACCAACACAGAATGAAATTTGTTCTCTAGGTGAAGATCAGCTAGGAATTGGTACAATCAGTGTCTTATTTCAGTGCAGTTTTGGCACTGAAGACAGCTCCCTTTATGAAGCATGGAACAGCTGGTACAGGTTCCTCACTGCTAAAGCATCCAGCCACGCAGACTACTGTCTCCGATTTTGAGCTTTTCTCGTATTCATGATCTGAGCTAGCTGGTTGTGGTTTTATGAACTGTAATTCTGTTCTTGTGTTTTCTTATACATGGGTTTTAAAGGGAGAGGATATATTAAAAGGGACTCAGTCTTGCAAGGATGTCGTGCATGAGTAAAGAGGAATATTATCACAGGCCATCAGTTTCAACTTTATTTTTTTGAGGCATCTAAAATTATGTCGAGCTGCTGTTGTAAACATGTTGGATACTGTAGTACGTCACAGACGGAAACTGGTTTCCTCTCAGCTGTACCATCTAGAAGCAGAGACTATATAGTCTTTAGAGAATATATGCAAACCAAATGAGATGATTAGGTTATCTTCCAATTTATGATAGTGGCAAGGGTAAGTTGATAATAAACTGCATAGGCGGAAGATAAAGATGCTTTCACATAGATCTCTGTCATGAGATACAGTAAGTAGTCTCTGTTTTCTACCGAATGACAGGCAGAAAATGCTAGCAAAAACGGAAATCTTCTGTGGGTAAGGAAAGAAGCTGTGTTTTTTCAGACCTGGACATATCCACTGAGAAACAGAAGGATTGCAGCAGATGTTTTGATAACTCCAGTTCGTGCCTAACAGGTTACACCTTCAGTTTTTTTGATCTTACACAGATCAAACGAAAATGATCGGTACTGCCTGTCTCTTTCTAAAGGCAGTGTTGCATGTGTGACTATCTAGAAATTAGACTAGATTAATTTTTGAGTACTCAAACTAGGTATTCAAAGGGTTCTGTTTTCTAGACTGCTATGAAGATTAAAAATGTAAATCCAGTAACTGAAAAGGAGTTCTGTGTGGATTGAATTTGTTCCAGGTTTTTTTGCTAGCTTAGAAGATAAAACCTAAAGAACCTAGCCTTCATGTTAGCAAACGACACTTGCCTGTCAGTCAGCATAGCCCTCTGTAGCTGATGCAGCTAGCTCCTCTCTGTTGCATCATAACAAAAACCTTCAGAAATGACTTCTCTTTTCAGTTGGTGGAAGAGCTTATTCTGTTTTTCCTGTTTTTTAGCATAAGGCTAAAAGCTTAAGGGAAGCATTTTTTGAACCCTTGGTGTTAAAATTTAATAGTAATTGACATAAAAATGAGATAGAATGGATTATTTTCCTTAAAAGCAAAAGTGTTACCAGGTTTGATTCATTTTATTAAAAATTTAAAAAATTGAAAATTGTGTTCTTACGCCCAGTAGTATAAATATCAAATTATATTCTTCTGGAGTTTTTTGAAGTCTTATTGCCCTTTGGCAGAAAACTAAGCACCTTATTTTTAAATACTGTGTGGCCTTTCAGCTTTCATGGTGAAGATATTTAGGAAAGTTAACTAAATGTTTTGTAGCTGTTAAAATCTCTGAGGAGTGTTTACTAAGGAGAGCTTTTAATCAGCTTCTATCAACCTGGTTCAGGTTATGCATGATTTCAGATCTCCATGTTACAATATTTTCAAGCTCAATCTCTTAAAAGTGAAAGGAATCATCTGAAGAGGTTAGGAAAGCTTCAGAGAGCTAGGGATCTCTCAAACTGCTGTCTTCAGATTCTCTCCCCTCCTCCCTCTAAACGCTTTATTTACTTGGCTTCAGAAGGGAGGTTCTCCATCTGTTGCTTAAAATATCCTCATCACCTTTAGCATTATGTTTTTTAACTTAGTTTTTAAAAGCATGAGGGTTTGGATCTTGTATCTTCCAGTGATGAGATGAGAACGCTCTGTAACCAAGTGTGTTCAGTTTCCCTGTTGCAGGAAGACTGGGTGAGTGGCTGTTGGCAATTAAAGGTAGTTAGCAGTTTGCCCGAGTGGTGGAACAGTTGCAGGAGTAATTGCAGCTTTGTTTCCTCTGTGGTGGGGAATTAAGCTGCTGCTGACTCTCGGAGGAATGGCATATTGTAAATTCACTTGTCCACCACAACAATTTCATGACCCAAAGACATTTCCATTTACATAGGAGACAGGCTGTTACTAACTATATGCTCTTAGTGACAGTGTGCTGCAAAGCTTGCTCCTAAAAAATGGAAATAAGTGACTTTGGGTGGTAACTCGTCTTTATCAAGGCTAACCTTCAACTTTCTTTTCCTCCTTGGAAATCAGTACTTTGAAAACCAGGAAAGCAGCTGAAGATGTTGGGGGGGCTCATGCAGTGTGTATCTTGGTTTTCCAAGACAATGGAGTGTTTACTTGAGCCTGGTGAGTACTGTTATTCCCAGGAGGAGCTGAGGTTTGAACTGGTGGTATCCTGGAGTGTGCTGCACAGCTCAGAAGCAGCACAGCCTTCCTTGAAACATGACAAAACCAGTGTGTCAGGGAGGGAAGATAACTTGAGGGTGGTTAAAATGCGGTTGGCTTTAGTGAGCTCTTATGGCTGTTTTCTGACCTGTCATTGTTGTATTTATATATCATATATGAAATTAAGTTTGTAGTAGTCCAGGTTTGCCTGTGCCATTTCCAGGTGTTACAGAAGTCTCTGCTGGTCACTGTTGTGTAGGCATAAATTTATATGTATGTATATGTTTTATTATTAACATCTGCCTTTTATTGGAGGCCTTTGGAAGAACAAGTTATAGTCTTGGCTTTATAAATGATGTTCGTTTTGGTTAAAAACATTGCAGAGGATTAACTAAGATAACCACCTAAAATCTCTTCAACTTCCATTTGCAGGGAGTAAAATTCTTTGCTGTTGTAGAATTTTGATATGTATTCCTTTTTTAAAAAAAAAATCAGTAAATATAGTAAGATTTTTTTACAGTGGTTTAGTTTAATTGCTGTCTTCTGTGGGTTTAAGATTAAAAACACAAAATACCTACTTTAGAAACAAATGTATTCTACAAGCAGCAGAGCCAATGCATCTGGCAGACAGAGCAGCAGTTTTCACTGTGGCCTTTCTTGGGATTTTCCTGCCTGGACGATCTGTCCATTTCCTTCCTCCACTTGTTTTTTTTGATAACAAGAGAAACAGACAGAAGGAGGCTGCTTAGGTTTTCCAAGCTATTAATAAAATGAAGAAGTTGAAAATGCAGAGTACTTTTTTACCAGTACTGAGTAATTTTTTTAACATATGCATTATTTTTCAATCTGTTCTTGCTCCCTCTGGTGGCTCTTCTACTCAGAACCTATAACTTTGTTCTTACATGATGTGGTTTTGTATGATTTGCTATATTGACTATAGCTGCATATGATGATGTCACTAATTCTGGAACCTAACTCTTTCAGACCGGGCATTTGGCAATGGAGACATTACTGTCTCTCACCTCGAAACGAGCTGGGGACTGGTTTAAAGAAGAACTGCGACTTCTAGGTGGTCTTGATCATATTGTAGATAAAGGTATATTGGAGGTGGTGCTTTGGCAGTGTGAAAAATTAGTAAATCTTACCAGGATGTTTGCTTTTCTTAATGGTCATTTTCTGTGGTTAAAAATAAAGTACGTATTTTTCTTAGCAGTGTTCAAGTACACAATTCGTTATCAAGTCACGGGGAAATATTAGTGACTTTAATCTGTTGCATGTGGGATTGTAACTAGTTCTAAGGTTAAACAGAATGTGTATAATGTTGCATATAATGTGTGAGATTTAAAATGGCTTAATGTTAGACACTATGCGTGTTTATTCTAGAGTTAAATCTCCTTTACAGTCTTCTAAAATAATTTTCAGGACTGATTTTTTTTTTTTAACTAAATATCCCAGAGGACATCAGCCCTTCAAGAAGAAATGGTGGTCTTTTTTGTTTCCTTGTTTTTTTAAAGGTATATTTTGGTTTTAACGGTATATTTAGGTTTTTTGGATCAGCATCTCACAGATAGGAAGAGGGACATCTCTGAGATGAATTCTTGAGCTGAATGAAGTTTAGTCTTAAGTAAGCGGAGGGGTAAGGATTGAAGAGATGAAAGCGTTAAACTTGCACAGTTTCAGACTTGTGAAGCGTGGGGAGAGTGTGCGTGCTGTGTCTTTTTTCTCTTCTACAAAACAGTGCATTAAACAGTCATGTGCTGTACAATCTCTTCATTGTCAGTAGAAAATAAAATACATAGATAGGTAATTTGGAGCAACAATCACAAACTTGAAAAGCCAAAATTGTGAGAGTGGGGTGTTTTTGTTTACTTGGAGAAAGGAAAAATTTTGGAATGCTGATCATGTCTTCGTGATTGTTTCCTAGTGTTAGAGTTTTGTAAAGTGTAAATCAACGTTGATAGTGCCTCTTGAGTAGCTACATAGTTTGTACTCTTGGCTTTTGAAGACCTCTTTCTGATAGTGGAAAACAATTTGTTTTTGTTTAGTTAAAGAATGTGTGGATCACCTAAGCAGTGATGAAAATGAAGAGAAATTGGTTGCTTCGTTGTGGGGTGCAGAAAGATGTTTACGGGTCTTAGAAAGTGTGAGTATGAGCAGATGCATTGCATTTCTGAAAACTGCTGTTTCTCAACCAGACCTTTTCAGTGTTACAGTCTTTCAATATGTAGTTGCATAACAACACTATAATGTTGTTTTTTTTTTTTATAGAAGATATTAACTTTCTGATGTTTATCAGTGTTCCTGTAATGTTTGTTTGAAAATTTCTTTTACCGTTCTGCATGTATGTACATCACAGTTTATTTTTGGTAAGAATTGAATGTAACATGAGACTTTTTCTTAAGTTCCTACAAAAAGATGCTGTTTATGGATGTTGGTTTTGAGGCATGAGTTTGACTCTGATGTGTGTCTAGTAATAACTGATCCTTATAGAAACAGCATTTTCTTAGGAGCGATAAATCGATGGATATTTTAAGAATTGCTACTTTGAAACGCTAGCCGGCTAAGCGCTGAAAGAGAAAACTGCCCTGAAAGTTAAACTGGTCCTGTAATCAATTGAGTGTGTACATTGAGGTGGTAAATATTTTTTTTATGAGAGCTTTGAACAGAATTAAAGTACATGGTTGTTTTGTAGAGCTTAATTGACAGGAATTGGGAGCGTATGCTTCTCTACAATGCCTTGTTTTTCTGAGTTTCATGTTTATTACTGGTGTTACTCTTTGTATTGTGATACAGTAAGCAAGCAGAAGAGTGCTGTGGCGTTTTAGCAATACATCTCCAGAAAGCAACGTTTGGGCTCAGAGTGCAAGTCAATGAATCTTCATGAGCACCTTAAACCCAAGTTAGAGGCCAAATAGCTACAGCAGTAACTTGTTTTTGTCACTGAAACAGGAGGACAGACTCAAAGATAGGGTAAAAGTAAGCTAAAAACTGAGAAAGACAAACAATGGCTGCAGTACTAATTCAATGCTGAAATACTAATTAGTGGCACCTAGCTCTTTACCTGCCTCCCAAACAGTGAGAGACAAATTTTCAGATCCAATTTCTGCTTTTATATTTGATAGATGGAATTGCCAAGCAGCAGTAGAAGAGACTCATTCATGGTAGAATATTCAAATTTGAACTTGTGATGTAGTAAGATACTTAGGCACTGGCGGGGGGGCAGGTTTTGACAAAAGTTAACACGACAAATCACGCAAATTTAAGAGAAGACCTTCTACTGTTTCTGAAAATTGGTTCTGAATTGCAATCAAGAGAATCAAGGGAAAACTTGATTTTTATGGTTGGATGCATAATAAGCTCTCAGAAGTGGAGTTCATGTCAAGTTACCCTAAAAATAACATTAAATGTATAACTGTATTCTGTGTTACATTTTTTTATATATATTTACATACACACTTGTACATACACACCAGGGACACCGTAGTCCCAGGATATAGATTCAGGGTTCTGCTGTGGCAGAACATTCTGCCACGTGGTTTCCGTACTTACTGTAACAGGAAGGATGGTTTTATCTTCAGTGCTACAATTTCATGTGATTAATTACGCGGTAAAAACTCCAAGGAGATATTGGCCAATGATAAGTGAAAGTTTTCACTAGATAATAACCAAGAAATGTGGAACTGAATGAAGTGGGGTAGTAGAGGAAGGGAATGGTTCTCTTTCAAGGCAAAAAAAGTACCATTTTTAATACTACTTTCTCCTCTTTTTAGGTAACTGTGCATAATCCAGAAAATCAGAGCTATCTGATAGCATACAAAGACTCGCAACTCATAGTCTCCTCAGCTAAGTAAGTTATAACGAAAAGACATTTTTGCGGAGCATTGCTCCTAAGGCAAAAAAAAAAAAATTGTTACACCAGAAGATTTTACGGGGGAAGACCCCATAATTTCCACTGTTGCTTTTCATTAAGTAATGCTCAAGTTAGTTTAGATGAGGGTGTGGGTGACTACCCGAGTACTACCAATATGTAGTGCTGCTGTAGTTGATTCTGTAGAAGGTGCAAACTGTGGATTCAGCTAGGATAGGATAGGAACACAGCAGAGGGCAGTTTCGAAGCTACATTTGTTTACTGTGTTTTCATTATGCTTAAGTGTTTACTGAAGTGGAGCGTAACAGAACTGACAGTGTAACTAAGATTTAAAATAGTGAAATTCTGATCTTATCTGTTCTTCCTGGCAAAGATGCTTGCACAAACACCTTTAACCCATTTATCAGTCTGGGTGAGGTCTCAGTTGACTGGCAGAGATCATATCCCTCTTGTACGGCTTTTTGTAAGAGAACAAATTAAGCTGCGAATTTGACTCTGCAGACCTCATTGGAGACATAATTGCATGGTTGTAGGTTAGATATTGTGAGTATTTCTTTAGATTAAAACCCGAACAAACCACAAACAAACTACAGTTTACTATGTTATTTAGAACGATATCTTTTTTGACTTTTTAGTTTTGTCTATAACTGACATCAGTGTTGTTGATTTAACGTTAAACTAATGGTGTGCGGTAGAATCATGCCTGTGGTCCCGTAGTGTTACGAGATTAAGATCTTACTGCTAGGAAGTCATGTGTCACTTATTTCTTAAAGAATAAAAATAGCTCTGAGGACAGAACAAGAGAACATTTAGATAAGACTGTCAGAATAATGTTGTGCCTTGATGGTCAGAGGATATGAGAGGCTGGGTTTGTAGGGAGAGGAGGTATCTTTTATAAGACTGTGTGACAAAGTTGGAAAGAAAAATTTACTTTTGCTCTCGAAATCTCACACTGGTAAAGCTCTAAGCCACAAAGTTTTCCTGGTTTTTCTCACAATTTCCATTGAGATTTTATAGCTGATAGATGTATTATCTCTCCCTACAGACTGGGCATCAGAAAAATTCTGTATAAGCTCTGTATTTGAGGTTTTTCCCCAGGTGAAACAAGTATGAAGGTGGAATGTCCTGTATGTTGTGGAGGTAATTTTGTTCTGCATTTTCTCCCTGCAGAGCACTGCAGCATTGTGAGGAGTTAATTCAGCGATATAATCGTGCTGAAGACAGTATCTGTTTACCAGACAATAAGCCTCTGCCTCACCAGAATGTAACTAACCATGTGGGTAAAGCAGTGGAAGACTGTATGAGGGCCATCATCGGTGTCTTGCTCAACCTGACAAACGATAACGGTAAAGCAAACAAACAAATAAGCTTTGTATTGTGTGTTAAGAGTATCAAATAAAACATTAATGTAAACCCTTCTCTTAAACAGTTTTTATGGTTGTTTCCATGTACAGTGCAATAAAGCAGTTATGTGTGGTAGATGCTCGCTTTACAGTAATCAGTAACTTGTCTTTGCAAGTTGGGTGAGTAATTGCAAGTACTAAGTGTTAAGATGCATGCTTTGGTTAAGAGGGCCGAAAGGTTTTTTTGTCAGTCTGCTTACAATTATGAAAATCAAATTTTCAAAATTGAGCCTCTAAACTCTTTATTTACAGAATGGGGTAGTACAAAAACAGGTGAACAAGATGGTCTGATAGGCACAGCTATGAATTGTGTGCTTCAGGTTCCAAAGTTCCTACCTCAAGAACAGAGATTTGATATTCGGGTGCTGGTAAGCTATTGTATTTGTTACATTAACATAAAATGATTTGGTTGCTTCTTGTGCATTTAGCTACTCTGGTTCTGAATTAAGAAGCAGCCTCTACAGCTTTCATTGACTATATATATATGTACTTAGTGAGGTGCTTTAAGGTTTCTGTAAGGATTTGGTGTGTTTGAGCCATAGCCATTTTCCTTGTGTTTGGTGGGAAAAAGTCCACTGCTAGATGAACAAAGAGATTTTGCTAAATAGATCTGTGAATTATCTAATGTTCAAGTGTCTTTTCACTTCTAGAAATACGGTGGATGTTATTGCTTGAGATAAAGGCTTTGCCAAATTTACCTCAACTTATGTAAAATGGGTCTGTGGCCTAAATAGCAACAGTGAAATTGTGTGTGTGAAGGGTCTTTTAAGAATATAAGCTGAAGGTTGGACATCTGAATCACTATCTATAAATGAAATCTCATCTTTAAAAATGTTTTCTTGTTCAGAATTGCAAAAATGGAGATTCCTGCACACAGGTTCTAGTGTACAGGGTTCTCAGTTTTGCCACATATTTCTTCAAATCCTGATCCTTCTGTCTATCGAACTGTTTCATAAAAGTGTGTTAGTAAGTTATGTATCCTCAGAAAGATAAGGCCTATTATCTGGATAGATGTTTTTTGCTAAGTTACTCTTTTCTAACATGTGCAATCCTCTTTGGCTCTCCAATTCTTGCAGGGATTGGGTCTGTTGATCAATCTGGTAGAATACAGTGCTCGGAATAGGCACTGTCTTGTCAATATGGAAACATCATGTTCTTTTGACTCTTTCTGTACGGGAGAAGGAGATGATAGCCTAAAGATAACCGGACAGATTGATGCTGTTCAGGCTTTAGTGCAGGTAAGAAATGTGGTTTTTTTCCTGTAACAGTTACTATTTCTCATTATCAGACTGTCAAGGGGGAAGAGAGAACTTGGACATGAAGATTTGTCAGAGGTTTTTTCTGTTTAGTATTTTGAGTAGTACAGTGCAGTGGGGGAAGAGGGCTGCTGCTCGCAATTTTGACTTTTCCAGCACTATCCATTACAGAAGCAGCTTTCCTGGTAAAAGACAGTGTTACCGTTATTACAGACATCCAAAGGCTGCTCTCATGCTCCCTAAAGCTTTCTTGTTCCTACACAGTTTATTTCTATTTTGTTTTAAACCAGGCATAAAAGTTGTAAGCTACTCTTGCCTTATGTTTAAGTACTATCTTTTTGGGAGTTTGCAACTTTAAATTAAAAAAAAAGTATGCTTTGTAAGAGCAATAAAATATGGATATAGTGATTATGGATGTGAAACAGCATTCTTAAATGTTGCACTGACTAACTTTAAAAAAAAAAAAAAAAAACAAAAAAAACAAACAATAATTTTGGTGAATGAGTTCCACCATGCAAACTAAAATAAAAGAATTGAAAGGAAATTACAGTGCTTTTATTTCAATTGAGATAATTTTATGGATGCTTTTAGCAGTTCTTCTATTTAACTTTGTGAAATAACTGTCCAGCACCAGACAAAGTCAACAATAAAAATAATATTAAATAGCTTAATGTATACAGCTTGGCAAAGCAATACTTAGAACTGGTGGTTGTATGGCTCGGGAAATAATTCATAAGACAAGTACACAATATGAAATTGCTGATTCAGTCACATCCTTGATAAGTCATTTTAAATTGCTTTTTCAAATGTTTGCTTTTTTGTATCAAGGGAAAAGCTAAGAGCAAAGAGGGGATAGCTAGCATGAAAAGAAAATGAGGATTGGTAGAGAACAAAAACGGGCAGGAAAATACGGCAACTTTTAGTCTTCAAGCTGTTCTCGAAGAAAATGATTAAACATTTATGGTGCCCAAGAGGAGCCGGCCAACTGGTTCAACAGTGGGGAGAGAGGGAGGCCTTTTCTGTAGAGCAGAGCGTTAGTGTTGTGATAAATTGTATTTTTCCTTTGAAGAAGAAAAGGCTATTGTTAAGAAAAGTATTGAAGACTAACTGTTCTAGGGGGTGAATTGTGAAAGGGAAATAAACTTTCAAGTATTAATTCAATGTGATAATGGGTTAATTTATAATAGAAATTCTTCTGAAATTTTCCCAATTAGCTATTTCTTGAGCGTGAGCGAGCGGCACAGCTGGCCGAGAGCCAGACGGATGAATTGATTAAAGAAGCTCCTACTGCTCAGCATGACAAGAGTGGGGAATGGCAAGAGACGAGTGGGGAGATACAGTGGGTCTCCACAGAAAAGCCAGATAGTACTGAAGAGAAAGATAAGAAGGAAGAAGATGATGAAGAACTTGATCTTAATAAAGGTATGTTGTCTGGTTGTGATGAGCTCAGAAAAGGCAAAGAACTCTGATTGCCTAAGTTGTCACCTTGTCCTCTGCTTCCTATCTACATGCAGTCTCTTGGGCTGAGATTTCCTCAGCATATCCCCCAGATGAAATTGTTACTGATCATAAGTAGGAGCAGTTCAGAGCTGAAGCATGAGAAGAAGTTACGTTATCTTTTATTTTGTTAATAGTACCTCTTATCAGGGCCTTCTGGAAAAAAAAAAAAAGGGGAAATAGAAAAAACCCAAACCTTTTTAGGGACCTTCTGTGTAAGAAATACTCTGGAACGGATGGCTTTTAGGACTTAATCTTGTTCTTCTGAACCAGTCCCTGAAAGTTACCTGCCCTGATTTTGTTTTCCAGAGTATCGTGACCTGTTCTTGTTTCATGCTACTTCTAGGTTTGGGTTTTTTTTTTTTTCCTTTTTTAACTCACCTCCCTATTTGCACGTATGCTGCTTCTGTCCCCGTCTTCTTTGTGCCTTGCATTCTTCTCACTGTATTGGTGGTATCTCAGATAATGCCTTGATGTGCTGCATCTTTGTAGTTTGCTCCAGGAATTTGAGTATCTCTGAGATGAGTTACACAGCTTGTCCAGCTTGTCTCTGGTAAATGTGTCAAGTCTGAAATGTCAGTCCTTCTTGTTTAATCTTCTAATAGTCGGTGCACTGCATTTCATCTAATAGTAGGTGTGGCATATTACTTTCTCCAGCCTTGCTTTATCCTTCCTTCTTTTTGTAGCTCCGTCAACTGGTGTCTGCAGCTGTTTGTGGCTTGCTCAAAAATGCTAAGTCATTAGCAAAAAGTGCTTTATCTGTTATCCTTACTACAAAAAACTTTCGATGGAAGTCTTACTGGCTTACAGTATCACATGAAAGGTTTATATTTGTATTTTGGTGTTAAGCATACAGTTTGCACATTAAAATGGTAATTAATAAAATACTATACGATGTAATGAGTTGAAAGCCAGCAAACACCATTTTTTCTGTTCAAGAATGTGCTGCTGAGTTAGTAAGTATGGAGTTTGTCTGATTCTTGCCTCTGAAGTCTCAGTCCAAAAGCTCATTTTGTTTGAGAAAAAAGAATTTTGAAAAGTGATAATGAAAGATTGTATTTGAAGCATACCAGCTGCTTAGCGAATACAATGCGCTCAATTGTCTCTCTTTACAGCTCTTCAGCATGCTGGGAAGCACATGGAAGACTGCATTGTGGCCTCATACACAGCATTGCTTCTAGGCTGTCTCTGCCAAGAGAGTCCAGTAAGGGAATTGCTCTTAAGTCCAGTACAATTTTTAGTGAAGTAATAATTTTCCATACTGAAATGGGTTTATTAAACTAGGGTTTGCTGTGAGCTAGTACGTTGATGAAGCTACACTGAGGTATATAGCTTTGTGGAAAGGTGCCAGAGGTATTCCATCCAAAACAAATTTTGTGAATGTCAGTATGATAAGATGAAAGGAAGTGGCCTCAGGTTGTGCCAGGGGAGGTTTAGATTGGACACTGGGAAAAATTCCTTCACTGAAAGGGTTGTCAAGCATTGGAACCAGCTGCCCAGGGAAGTGGTGGAGTCACCATCCCTGGAGGCACTTAGTGACATGGTTTAGTGGTGGACTGGGTGGTGTTAGGTTAATGGTTGGACTCGATGACCTTAAAGGTCTTTTCCAACCTAAACGATTCTATGATTCTATCTTATGTTTATCAAAACCAGTTGGAATTGAATGTTTACCTCTTCTGCCTCTCTCCCCTTTGCTGTTAGTCTTAGCCAACAAATGAACTGACTTCAGAAAGGCAAAGGAAAATTTGCTCTGTAATTATAATTGTATTGTTCTATACCTATAAAAGCTAGCTTTATTTTTCAGTAGTTTCAATAATCAAGTTAACATCAGACTTGTTTATTGTTTTTTATGGCTGGTTTATTTTTTCCTCCATTGAAATTACATGAAATTGAGTATGTCCATATTACTTGAAGATGATTGCCTCGCACTGGAAATACATAATAGAAAGCTGAAGTTAATACTTAGAAATATGGAATGACTGAGAACTTCATAAACTCTCTTGTCAGATATATGCTGAAAGAAAATGAGGTTCACACCTGCCTTCAGGCTTGTCTAAATTTACCATGATGGCAGAAATGGTCTTTAACATGCTGGTTTGTACCTTTTGACTAATCAGCTTTTGTACAATTTTAGTGTTTGGAGTGATACTGACAATAAGTTCAATAATTCTCAACCCGTAACAATTATAAAGGGAGCTTTTCTCCATGTCAAGGAGAGTAATCTGGTGGGTTCTTGATAATGTTGTAGGTCCTGGGGAGGTCTGATGGTGGTAATAATCTTTAATGGGGAAGACAACAACCAACCAAACAAAAACCCAAAAAACAAAACAACAACAAAAAAAAATATTTTTAGCAGTTGTTTTCTAGAAGCATAAACACCATAAACATATGAGTGTTGCTTGAGAGAGACTTAAAGCATAGACATGACAGCAAAAGCCGTCTTAGTAATGCTATGAATATACTTGTCTTACTGCATCTGACATACAGAGTAATATAGTTCTCTGTTGGAAAAATATTTCCCAAATTAAAATAGATTGTTTTATTTCTCAGATCAATGTGACTGCTGTGAGGGAGTACTTACCTGAAGGAGACTTCTCAATAATGACTGAAATGCTCAAAAAATTTCTCAGTTTTATGAATCTTACTGTAAGTAATATGTATTTTAAATTGATGTATGTACATATTTTGGTAATTGTGTTTTCTGTTAATAGTCCATATGCTTTTAGAAGCCTTTAACATTTTTCTGTTTGTGTCTGTAGAAGTGCTCAGGATGATTTTCTGTTTTTAAATACTGACACCCCAATTGTCTGTCGTTTTGGTAGTAAATGGAATGAAGCTGCTTTCATTCTGTTTGATTGCGACCAGACAGGAAAATATTTTTGAATCCTCTGCCTGAACCTAATTGCTTTTACTGATAATGTAATTGTAAATACTAAACTTCTGAAATGAGCATAGCTCTCGAATATTTTGAAAAGGTATTACAAATGCTTGTTTGTTTCTTGTTTTCTATTACATTTTCCAGTGTGCTGTTGGAACAACAGGCCAGAAATCTATCTCTAGGGTGATTGAATACTTGGAACACTGCTAGATTCTTAACTTCCGCTGCAGGCACTCTAATGCTGGAGCTACCCTTAGACAAAAGAAGAAGTCATGAAAGAAGTCCTTGAAGGATATACCAAGAGCATTCATCTGTGTCATTCGTGTTCGGATTTTTAAGGCTACCTGGTCTCTTAACCATGCAGTCAGCATTTTCTAAAAGACAGTTACTACATCAATCTGCAACTATCAAAAATGAGGGGAAAAAGGTTCTGAGGAAAGTAAATAACGAAACAATGCTGTTTATGATGCAGTGCAGTATTTAAATTTTTTTTTTGGCAGGGTTTGCCCTCCCTATCTTTTTTTCTTGCTTTGTTCATGAAAAGTTTCAAGAGGAAAAACTTGCTGCTGATAGTGCAACTGCTGTTTACTGTTGAGCCACTGTTTCATGCCAGCCAGGTGCAAAGGCAGCTTAGCTACTGAGGTATCAAACATATGTTCTAATAAAGAAGTTCTGGACAGCAGCACTGCTCCTATTTGAGTTTAATTTGCTCTTGCTTTTCTATTACTAGATTATTCCAAAATCATAAACTATAAATTTTTAAATACTTTTGTGATTTTAACTACTGTCTGTATTTAAAATTTGTTGGAATCCAAAGAGGTGAGGATTGGATAGTTTATTTTTTATACTGTTTTGATTGAAATTAGGTTGTTGAACTATTTCTTGGTTCTAAAACTATCATGGCCCATGTACTGTAAACTGATAGACCATAACACTTTGTAGTTCCAAGAAGCATGCAAACCCATGAAGACACAAAGCCATTTGAGGGTATGTTATCCACAAAAGAAAGAGTAACTGTAAAAAGTTGTGCCCTGTTTAAAAAAAGAAAAAAAAAAAAGATATTCAATCCCAGGGTAGTTTACACTTCCAATAAGCAAAAACTTTGACATGCTGATTTAATTTGTTTCGAGGAAGCACTCAAGATGTATTTTATAATGCTCAATACAAAGAATTTGGATGTTTTAGGGGGAAGAATTTTAAAGAAGCTAAAACACCAATGGGGATTAATGTTTCCAGCTGACATAATCTTTCTATTTCATTCTTCTGTGGTATGACAAAGTTTAAATGCATACAACCCAAAGCCTTAAATTGCTGATATAGCTAAGATTTTGTTCAGTCTGAGGTCTAGTTCACAGCAAAGCATTGTGTTTGAAGACTTAAGTGGAACAAAGAATCCCAGAAAACATGACTTTTTTTAAACAATTTTTTTCTTGCACTCATGATTCAGACCGACAGAATTGGTAACTATTTTTATTAAGGTGGTCTTGAATATTTGCAGACTGTTCTGAGATCTGCTTCATTGACATTTTTAAATACCTGTGTAGGTAGTTACATCATGTTATTCCATTGAATTTGTAAAACTTGAAGCCATAAAATTATTAGTTCTATGTATAATGAGGGGGAAATAACAGGAAATCTAACCTGCTTTTAGATCTTGTGTTATCTCCATGTATAAAGTTAAGGACTCGTGCTTTTGTATCAGTGCCAGCTGTAAATTTTTTACATACAGTGGCTGCCTTCTATGTCTTCCTATTTTTGATAATGCAGATTGTTGGGAATTCTGTAAGGAAGTAACTGATTAGCAGAAAAAATCCTATGTTGGTCATAATTTTTTGTGTTTTCTCTCGTCACCTTCTAAAACTTAGTGTATCAGTGTAACTTAGAAAAGTTTTTGAGGTTGTATTCCCCTTCATTTAAAAAAAAAAAAATCAGTATTGAGAGAGAGGAGCTATATGTAAATGATCTACATTAGGAAGAAATGATTGAATATTTTGCCCATCTAGTTTTCAGATTTTAGAGATTTTCACTTATAATGGTATTTCAAAATAATGATGTAGCTTTTTGTGGAGAGATGGCAAGAGGAAATAAAATACGGATGTGATAATGGGGGAAAGCAGGGACAACTGCCTTTCTTTGTTACACTGGTAATTGTTTGGGAATTGATTTACCTCAGTGTTTAACAGTTGTTTTTTTTTTAAATGTAACTAATTGTCAAGCACTGACAAATGCAGATTATTTTTTTCTTTCTTTGATGGTGGGGGGAGAAATCACCCTGTGAACTGCAGTGCATTTTTGTGTGTTAGACCCTCAAATAACTCTGCATTAAAGGGTACTTGAGGCCCACTTGCAAATTAAAGTTTTAAAGTAACTTTTTTCCATTGTAAATATTTGTGTAAATACTCTCAATTGGAAATTAGAACAGTAGAGTACTTTTCTGAATCCAATCCTATTTTTATTTTATACAGTATTTCTCAGCTGTGATCTTTGGAGCAAAAGCCAACGGCAGGAAAAATAGTTTGTACCAGTTTCATGAAGTATGTCTTTGGGTTTTTGTAAATAATTTTAACTCAAATAAAATTGCTACTTTCAATACATATCTTGTCTTTTAACATGCAATAAAACACTCCTCTGAGTGATTGCAGAAAGAAGGCAGCATCAGGTAAATTGTTAAAAGGAGAGGGGAAAAAAAAAAAAAGAGAAGGAAAAAATAGAGGAGCATCCTGAAGGTAGTGCTTTGTCTCTCACTGCTGTGCATGGAGCTGAGGCTGTGCTCAGTCAAACCAGCTGAACCTTGGCATTTCCTGGAGGTGGTGTACTCAATCTCTTGATGCGTTTTGGAGTTCTCGGCACAAGTTGCTATTAATCTTTCAGCTGAAGGGGCATGTAGCAACTCTGAAGAGCTGTAGTTAGAATAACAAAAATATGCTAAAGCTTAGGGGAAATGGGGTGGTTCTTCTTACGGTGATACTTGTCACATCGTGGGGGATGTTAATGGCAGCTTTCTACAGTGAAAAAATGAGAAAATTACCATGAGCACTGCTCGGTTGATTAATATGAATGGTGCTTTAATTTCAGGATGGATTTTTTTTTCCCATGGATTTTTTCTTAATTGATACAACTAGATACAGGTACAATATGCAATAATACATGAGCTGTAAAGTGAGCTCAATGTGATCTGTCGTCTCATTGCCACTTCAACAAGCATCAGCATAATGTAACTTCAGTTCTGTGCTGTAAAGGGACGTTACTGGAGCTTGAAATATGGAGCAGTATGTTATTAGCATGTGGCACTGTAGGAGGCAAATACAGCTATATGTAAGCAAAGGGTTTCAAAAGAAAATAACATCTGGTTAAAGTATTTGCTCTTGGTTATTTTGTTGGTAGATATGGAATGGAAGCATTACGTGTGGGTGCTTTGAGATGATATAAGCATTTTCAGATTAACAGGACAATTGTGAAGCTTCTATAGAAGATTTGGGAGTCATAGCCTTTCATGTATATTATTTCACTTTGAGACTGTTTTGAAATGCATCGTTTGCATAATAACAAAGTGATCTGGCATGGTATGTACAGCGCTGGTTTATCAGAAGCTTAATGTAAAAGCAGGTAGTAGTGCTGGAGATGATTTCTCAGGCTGGCCTAATGGAGTTGTTCTGGTGCTGTCAGCAGATTGAGTCTCTCTGAGCAGAAGATTGGACAGTGATCACAAAGGCGTAAAAGCTTCACTGTTCCCCCTGAGCTGAGCATCTGTGCCAAGCGTGCAGCTGGAGTAGTGCTGTTCTGCTGGGGAACTGAATAATCACTGTGTGGCCACTTCTGGGTGGACGAGAAGATAGTAGAAATTCTCATACCAACTTTAGGGTTTTAAATTCTTGAACAACTTCTGTAAAGAATATTCTAACAGGAGTTCCTGCTTTTAACTATGTTTTCAGGCTCAAGTACCTCACTGAACTGATAAAGATGGTTTTGTTGTCAGATGCACTAGCGAATATTCTGTCTTCCCTCACTTTTTCTTCCTGGACATCGGTAATTCCTGCTTTTAGTAAGCAGAAGTCAAAGTATTCTTATGTGGGGCTATTACCAGGCAAGCTTACATGGCTTTTTCAGTAAAACTATTTTGTTGGTTTTGTTCATTAACATGATACTTTTCTTGTTTAAAAAGCAAGGAAAACAAATTGTGTATTTGAGTTGAAATGATAAAGAGGGCTTAAGTAGCTGCCATTCTTCTGCATCAAGCCCACCCTTATAGGATGGTTCGTAATGGGGTTTTTGAAGATTGTAGTTTTCCCTGAATCCTGCTAGACAAGTGTTTTCAAAACTAGACCAATGCAATTCTTGGTGCCGCTGCCTCTCCTCCTCTGTGCAATATGTTAATTTGTCTTTGGGTAAAGGACACTACTGCATTCTTTTAGCTACGTGGAACAGAAGCCATTCATACATATTCTTTTTTGCCTGCCCTAAAGGTCCCCTAATTAAGGGGCATTGGGAGCATCTGTAGGTGCAGATAGTCTTACTGTAAATAAAAGTGAAACCCTTGTAAATAATGCAACTGCTTGAAGTCCTTATCCAAGGGTAGACTGATTTACTAATGCCACAAGGATCTTTATTCTAACTGTGAAAAGTGAACTTAATTTGCAGCTATAGCTTAAGCTTCAGGTTGCTGTGCTTGGTATGGTATGTCTGTCCATGACAACAGGTGATCTCTGGTGATGCAGAGGAAGTTGTCAGGTGCCCGTGAAACAAGCGCTCCTCATTGGGAGGAAAGTGAACTACACTGGAGGCTGCCTTAAATCTGAAAGACAGACCTGTTCATGTCTTTTACCTCCTGTCTTTCAAACTGTATCGCTAAGCCTCCTAACCCCTGACTTTTGCTACTATATGTTGAACTTCGTTTCATCAGCTTAGAGGGGTAAAGGCCAAAGAATTTCTTGAGAGATGTGGAAAGCTAGATTGCTAAATAATAGAGAGTTGTTCAGACAAGAGTACCTATTTCCTTTTATGTCCACAGTGTAGACTCAAAATTCTAGTCTGTCTTAGGTGGTCCAAAGTTACTTAGAGGAAGGTTCATTGTTGCGTAAATATTAATTTAAAAAAAAGGTAAACTTTTGCAGAAGAAAATTGGGTGATATGGAAAAGAGGACTCTCTTTGGAGTAAAGGAAAGAATAACAGGAATTTTACTTAGATTTACTGGTGGGAATTCGTCAAGTTTCCTGTATTGACATATATATGACAGAAGGTTTAGTTTTTTAAAAGTGGGGAGGAAGAGTGTTAACCTGGAGTGTTGAATGGATTAAATGATTTTTCATTCCGCCTGTAAAACTAATGCTGTGATTGTGTCCTAGAACAACAGTACAGTGTTGGCCAGTTGAGTTAGTAATTGTAGTTTGTGTGCGTGTTGCTCTTTTCTCTGAACTGTCTAGCTGTGTCACTGTACCCTCTTAAGAAAATTAAATGCATTCTCAACACTGAAAATAAGGAATAAAACTAAAAAGAGGATGTTCTACCAGGAGAAAGACTTGTGTCAAAGGTGCACCAAAGAGTTTAATGGTGGAGATGAATAGTTACCACCTGGACAAGTATTTCGGTTAAAGACCCAAATGAGACTTCAACAGTTTCTTAACTTGCATTGTTTTCTTCTTGAAATTCACTGACATTTAATCAGTAGAAACCAAAACTTGAGAAAAGCTACGAGGGCTACAATTTGAAGGAAATAAATTTAAAAAAACCAAACCCACAGATACTAGAAGTAATTTTACTTTTTTCTAGCCAGTGATTGACCAAAGAAATTTTATTGAACTAGCCTGTTTGATGGGAGAAGGACCTGTGAATGTGGCTGTGGTACATCTCCCAGTGACAGTTGCTGCTGTTGGTTTCCTTCTGCATTATAGTATTCTACTTGGTGGAAAGCCAACCTTTTATGAATAGTACGTGGGTGGGTATGTACGTGCACGCACACACACACATACACACACACATATATATATATGTATTTTGCTTCTCTGCTGTCACCAGTACCTAATGCATGAAAATCAAGGTGAAG